CCCTGGACTTCAAGGGGGATTGTCTGAGAGGACTGCTTTCAACACTGAGTGTGCTGCTTTTCCACAAAAACGGGGTCACAATGGCTGTAAAGTTTTACAATTACCTGGCAGATTCTGTGGAACTTTTCCATAAATTTTATACATGATCACACCTCCCTGCAAGGGAGACCACTTGGGCAGAGCCCACTTGGCTACAGCGGGGATGCTTGTTCTTGCAGCCAGTTGTGCTGATTGGAGAGCAGCTGTACCAAAATTTCTCCTCCTCTTTTCCTCCTCCTCTGCTCCCCTCACCTCCCCACAGTAGTGTGACATGGACGATAGCTTTAGCCATGCTTTTTTGTTTTAGGTTTGGAGGTTTCAAAAATGTCTTTAAAAATGAAGGCATTCACCAGTGGGCACAGCTTCACAGATATTGCAGTTCTTGTAGCTGTACTCACTTCCAGCCACTGGAGGTGGCTGTCGTCCTGCTTTCTGGCTGGGGACAGCAATGGCCTTGACAATACAAGCCTTTGGGTTGCTCTGTCTGGCCCACAGAAGTGCAGCTACCACAGGGTCTTGAAATTACTGCAGAGTGATGGAGTGATAGGCTTAGGCAAGGATGCTTATGCTATAGCTGTTTAATTTTTGGATGTGTAACTTGCTAAATTTTATTTAAGTCTTCCTCCTCCAAGCAAGGTGTCATGGCATCCATTTTGGGGGAGGCAGGGGGATGAGCTCCCCACCTGTGTAGGATGCCCCATCCTTGCCACATCTGGAGGACTGATGGGATTGCGCAGGGGGTGCACAAGTCTGTGTTCTTGGTGCAAATGGAAGGCACCAAGTTGGAACAGGTCTAGGAAGTGCTGCCTGCCCTCACTATTGGCAAGCAAGGGCCATGGGGATGAAGAGTGCTGGGCAGTGCAGGGAGTGGGAGGAGAAGCACTCGACATACAAGGGCTACCCATCCAAACGGAGGGGCTGCTGCTTTGGCCACAAGAGCTGCCTGTACTGTGACAGCACGAGGGAGCCCAGGAAAGCCTGGGGACTGATAGCAGAGGAATAGCTTTTGATTGCCTCCCTTGCTGCTTTGCAGGCTCACTGGTGGGACTGATCAGGGAGCCAAAGTCCCCAAAGACCTTCAGAAGACTGGCCTCTAAGCTCCTGCACCCCTGCGAGGCCACCACCTCAGGGAAGAAGGTCTGTTTGGGGAGCAGAGCCCCTTTGCCCCCTGCCCCAGCTGGAGACTCTGCCCTGCTGCAGGTGAATAGGCCACATCTCCCTGGGTGAAACTGGGAGGTCAAGGCCTGCCTCCCTCATGGGGTCCAGCTGACTTAAGAAGCCCCAGTCTGAGTGCCTTTGGGTTGTCAGTGCTGACACCCAGGACTGACCATTGGCAACCCTTCCTCTGCCCCCTCCATGTCTCCCCCTTGCATATCGCGTGCTCCCAGAAACAGCAGCCCTTGAGCAGGATCTTCCCTTTTCTCCTCACAATGCTTGGCAAGGGGAAAGCAGGCTAAGGTGAGGCTGCATGATGGGCACAGCGGCACCTCTCATGGCTTCTTTTCCTCTGTGTTTCCTCAGTGCCAGAGGAAACCCAGTGAAGGCTCTCAGGTTTCCCAAACTTTTCTGAGAACATGTCCTGCAGTGACCTCCCAAGGGAAGAGACGTGGAGACCTGTGAAGGAAAGCTTGGAGTGAATCAAGCAACCCAAACCAGGACTGATGCCTGAGTACAGGCTTGAATACATTTGTCTATCAGCTGGGGAATTTAATATCTATTCCTTAACAACGCAGTTCTTGCTAATGATTCATACTTACATGATATTCATCATCCTCTATTCATTTGCCACCCTGTGGGTCTGTAGCTCTATGCTCAGTAAGCTGTGAGTATCATGGAGCTGATGCCATCTCTTTAGCATGGCTTCTGAGTGGCTTCTAGTCACAAAGGGAAAGGTGATGAGGCTCAAAATCTCTTTGAGGAGAGAGGTCAGGACTTAAATGAGCTTGTCTTTTCTCTTCTGATTTTCCTTCATCATGCCTGATGTTTTTATGTTATTGCCTCTCTCCCAAAATGGGCAGAGGGCTCCTCTGTTTCTCACACTGATTATCTTTGTTTTGGTTTTGCTATGTGTATTCAGAATGTTTCTTATTTGCAGTTCCTTGTTCTTATCTTCTGGCAACATTTAGCTACTTGAAAACCTTCCTTCTGCACCTCCACCCATCTTTGCCAAAGAGACCAAGGGGGCTTTTAGCTCGAAAGAGCAGCTCTTGAGCAGGGAGAGGTTGTTTTTTGAGGGGGGGGAGGAGGGGGAGAACACAAACTGGAGCAGGTCACTTTTTAAAACTAAGAGTTAAGGCAGAATGGACAGGATGAAGCAGAGCCAAGTTTCTACAGAGTTTCTTCCTCCAGGCATCCTGTGTTATTCCCTCTTTCTCCAGGGGGATGCACTTGATTAAATCACTCTCTTCTATTAAAGGACCATGATGTAGCAAACTAAATAATGCCAGTACTATCCATCATATATTAATAAATCCCACAGTTCCTGAAGTAGGATGACAGAGTGTGTACATAAGGGAAATGTATCCAGGCAGAAAGTACTATAATAGATGTTTCAGCTAGTTAATATTTTTCCTACCACCCTTCTGGGATCCTTTCCACAAAACCTGCCAAGAAATCTAGGTTTGTTCCCATTTTGTAGCACATGTAGTTCCAGGATGTATTTTCTTCCATCCAATACCACCATCTGACTTGAGCCAAAATGGTTGAGGGAGCTGTCTGCAAATCAGGCAGACATGTGAACACATTGCAGCTACAAGTAGGACCACTTGTTTTAAACCTGTGATAAAAGTTCCCTGGGGAGTTTTAAAGCACTGATTGCTTTTGGTGTTTATTTTATTTAAGGTTGCAGAGTATCAGGCAGAACTTGGACATGCTAGCTGCTGCTTTACATACCTCTGAAGAGCTCCAGCCTCACAGAGCTCCAGAAAGCTGTATTAGTTTGCTTTCACTGTTAGGCCATGAAATCCTTGTGACAAACTTGATCCAAAGAGAGGTGTAGGTGAAGGTGAGGAGTAGACAACAGGTCTTGAGGCTCTGGGGGTTGGAATAAAATAAATCTCTATTTCAGAAAGGCATGAGGCACAAGAATTTTTTCTGTAGCCCCAAAGTATAATTGCTTTTGACTTTCAGCCTGTATCTGTCCTGCTTACTGAGTCTCTTTGCTCAGGGCTAAAGGTGTTTGAACACAGTGGTCCTAAAAAGGGGCAATAACAGCTGACAGGATGGCTGCTCCAGCCATTGTCATAATTTGTTTTTTTCATGATGTGTTGCTTCCACTGCCAGCTCCAATCACTTCAATATTTTTATATCTATACAGTTTATACATGTGTTTGGGTTTTTTTCTACAGTATTTTCTTTCTTTTGAGGAAGCAAAAAGTATCTTCTGTCTTAAAGTTTCCCTGGATTTGTTTTTAACATTTTGATGACAAATCTGCTTTTACTTACTTAAAAAGACAGCACGAATGTTAGTTTGGTTTGGGGGTGGGAGTGGGGCGGTGGTGTTACAGTGTAGACAATCTTCACCTCAATCCCAAGCAGGGTGACCCAATCCTGTATAGGCAGGCATTCCTGTGCTGGTGTGCAAACACCTGTGGAGTCAATCCAGACTTTGCTGATATGTCCACTGCCCCCTGTGAGAGATGCAGCATGGGAGTACCAGACACTGACCCAGTACTCATCCCATGGCAGCACAAAGGATCTCACTTGAACCTCTCTAAAGGTCTTTAATGAGGCAGCTGTACTCACAGGAGCATCCTTGGGGCTGCTTTTCTCCAGTACAGCCCCTGCCCGTTTTGCCTTCCTGGCACTGACAGCCAAGTCTGGCCAGCACAGGACAGGGCAGGCACAAACTGCTTGGTCATCAGACTGCAGCATACCTCACCCCAGGCTCATGTGAACCTGACCTTCCTCTGCCAGCCCCATGCAGTCCCCAGGGAAGGCTGCAGAAAAAGGGCAGAGAGAGTTGGCTGTTCTGAGGGGCTGCAGGAAGCCTGCAGGGTTATCTCACAGAGCAGAGTTGCTCTAGAGACAGGTGGTGGTAGTGTCCTGCAGAAAACCTTTGGACTGAGTTGCTCCAGGGACCTCAAGACTGGCTGCTGTGCAAGAGAAACAACCTTTCTTGCAATGGAAGTGTTGTCTTGACCCCAACTGTGTGCAGAATGGCAAGAATGCATATCCTTGCCTGTGTCAGAGGGCTTCTCTAGGATCCACAACTGTGATGGGAGTTGTTGGCTGACCTTTATGGCCCTATCCTGTGGCTTTACAAAAGCAGAAGGCCTCTAGTGAGACCAGACCACAGCCAGGACCATTCACCTTTGCAGGAGGCTTTCTGCAGTACCAGTTTTCCAGTGACCCCTACAGACCTATTGTAGACACCTCTGCTGGGATTCCCGGGGTCATAGAAGGTTGGTAAGTGTCCTGGTTTCAGCTGGGATAGAGTTAACTGTCTTCCTAGTAGCTGGTACAGTGCTGTGTTTTGAGTTCAGTATGTGAAGAATGTTGATAACACTGATGTTTTCAGTTGTTGCTCAGTAGTGTTTAGACTAGAGTCAAGGATTTTTCAGCTTCTCATGCCCAGCCAGGGCACCTGACCCAAAGTGGCCAACAGTGTATTCCATACCATGTGACATCCCATCTAGTTTAGGAACTGGGAAGTGGGGGGCAGGGATTCGCCGCTCAGGGACTGGCTGGGTGTCGGTCGGCGGGCGGTGAGCAATTGCCCTGCGCATCATTTGTACATTTCAATCCTTTTATTACTACTGTTGTCATTTTATTAGTGTTATCATTATCATTATTAGTTTCTTCTTTTCTGTTCTATTAAATCGTTCTTATCTCAACCCAGGAGTTTTACTTCTTTTCCTGATTTTTCTCCCCCATCCCACTGGATGGGGGGGGAGTGAGTGAGCGGCTGCATGGTGCTTAGTTGCTGGCTGGGGTTAAACCACAACAGTAAGGCAGCCAGACCACTCTTTTGGTGAGGAGCGGACATGGGTCCACCCCAGCATACCAGACCCATGCCTTAACATCAAAATTCCTCTGTCCTGCTAAGATTTCAGCTTCACGCTTTCCGCAGGCTTCCCAGGGAAAGGCACATCTAAATGGGAGCTGTGAGAGACAGACAAGTTATGCAGCTTTGAGAAGAAGAATCTACAGTAGTAAGCTGACTTCAGCTATGGTGGTAATTACAGACTAGCACAGAAATTTGAGCCTCTGTTGTTCTAAAGACAAAATGTGAAGTTAGCTGAAGCAGCAGAAACAGCCGATGGTGCAAGGTGCTATTTGTGCAAGCTACTGGGCCTCACTGTTAGCAATGCCATAACTCCTCTATGGCATGCTGCCAGGGTATGACAAACTATATAGTGGAGGAGCTACCTGCTCCGCTACACAGTAGGAATTCAGAATGAACCTCAGACACCTATAAGTCTGATGCATGAGTAGAGAGAAAAATCTCCTCATTCAAATCTCTTTTATATGCGTGGATAAAGATAAGCGTGTCTTAGCTGGTGCAAGGCAGACTTTCTGACTAGGGCAATGGCAGATTTTGGAGACATTTGCTAGCAGTATTTCCTCACCCCTCTAACATATCCTTCAAAATAGAGCTAACTGTAGTTTAACCTACAGCTAATTTCACACTGTGATTTTAGGGATCTGAGATACCACTTCACATCATCACTTTGACCACAACTTAATGCACTTTTGGCAAATACAGAGACCTTTGGTTTGTGCTACATAGCAGATCTGATGCACCCTTGCATCTATAAAATACTTTTTGAAGTGTAATATAGTGAGAAAAGAATTATCTTTTCTTAAACCACCCTTTATTAAAAAACATAAGCATTTGTAAATATATAAAATTATAAAGTACCAAGTGCTTCTTGCTTCCCAGTACAGTAGGACTCAGGAGTAGCATGTAAATTTGGTGTTAAACTGTTTGGTGTATTAGGTCCAGGGCTGCAGAACTGACCAGCTAGTTTTGCAAAAGACAGCTAATCCCATTCCTCTGACAGGTCCAAACTGATCTTGTTTCACCTCAGGTTCAGACTTCCTTCCTGCTCCTTTTGACAGTGCTTACTAGTGAGAGCAAGGCTGGAGCTGTAGGAACTAGCAGGCTCCCAAGAAGGATGCAGCTAGGTGTTTTACAAAGGAAGAGATTTCCAGTTGCTAATGGGGAAGATAATTCAGGCACTGAGAGAGCTCCTCCGTACAGTGTGCCTCAGGGGAAGTGCATCCTTTGCTTTGGGATCATCCTCTAGCTGGACTGGACAAAGCCAGTCACAGGTCCAATGTGCATCAAGTTACTTTAATCAAGAAGTACTCAGATCCTCTTGCAAGATGCATGGTATGAAGCATCACCAAGTCCACTGAAATGTTATAGGTTAAAAAGTTCTCAGGTTGTACATCTAGACCTGAACAACAAAGCAGGACACTGGACTGCTGTGGAAGTACTGTAAAATGAAAAATCCAGTTGTACCCATTGCAATTGTTAGGGTAACAACTTCAGAGGGGATCTTTTGTGTCACTACCCCTCTCTTCTAAGACTGAAGAACAGCTGTCAGCTGCAGAGAGAACTGGAAGGTGCTTGTTGATGTTGTTTCTTACTTGGTCTTCCCTGGAAAGCCCCTATCATGTGCAGAAACTTATGACACATCCCTGCCTTCTCTAAGTGGTCACCTTTGCCAGTTCTCCTGCCAGCTCCTACCACACCAGGCACCGCCATGTCATTCCCCAAAAAGTGAGCTGCCCTCTTAGTGTTTCCCTACAGGAGAGCATGAGTTGGCCTGGGGAGGGTACACTACCCTCATCTTACACCAGCATGTTCATCTTCTTGTGGAAAACTTAACTAACCCACTGGAACTGCAGGAGAGGTGGAGAAACAACAGAAGCCCCAGTAAAACAAGCTTATCCTGCATGTCTCAGCATCTGGCAGAGGACCAGAAGGGTGAAGAATGCTGCCATATTTAACTTCTGCTGCTTACTGATACTTTCTTTTACAGGCAGCACTGCAGGCAGGGCTTTTCTTTTCTTGTTTGTAAGAGAGGACAAAGTGGCTTATTATAACAGACTTGCATTATAGATCACATACGTACACTTCCCTGCTGCAATGGAAGGATACTGTAGCTCCTACGACCCTTTAGCTAAGATGTACAATTAGCTCCAGCCTTAGAGTGGAAGAGTTGTTATGCTGTACAAGAACCACAGTCCTTAAACAGAGGTTTTCCACTGGCTTTGTGACAGGCACAGCTTCCACCCCTCTGAAAGCTTCACCCCTGATACAAGTACATGAAAATGAAAAAATAGCTGAAATATGATATTCCTTTCCTCTGAAACAGTTCTTTAACTTGAATCAAGTCAGCTAAAAATCCCTGTTACCTGCTTAGTTGTCCAGTCCCACTTTGACCTTTCTGGCAGCCTTTCTTACAGCCTGGACTCACAAATAAATACAAGATTGAGGGAAGCACAGCAAAGGTGCCCCAGTGACACCTCTGCTCTAGCCCTTGCTTGTTGTGCAACAGGACCTGAATATCCCAGTGTGCCAGCTGAGCATTTGCAGTCATGGTCCCTGCCCACAGGTCTGAGTCCTTCCCTTACTGGGCCCTTGGCATCCCCTTTTTGGCCTGGTTAGGCTTCAGGAATATTTGCTGTTGCTGTATCTTCTGCCTTGACCAAATCACCACTGTTTGTCTCAGCATGGAGCCGCTTGTAGTCAGTGTGGAAGAAGATGACGTAGAAACAAGCCATAGCACTACAGAGGCCAGCCAGCACCAGTACCGGAGCTGCAAAGAAGATGATACACTCTTAGACAGTGAATTCACAACTCCCCATGGGTGCAGAAGTCCAGAGCAAGTCTGGTCCTCAGCAAATGCACAGCCTCCCAACGACTACCCCTGAGGACAGTGTGCAGCTCACAGGGGGGCAACACCAGTTCGGTAACAGCCAAACCTTGTCTCATGTAACACTGGCATAGGAAGAGGATTTGAGTGAAACGTGAAAGGTTTCCAGGATTCTTGTCCTCTATGACCGCAGAGGTTGGAGGTCTTATACCAGTGCACACAGTGTGTTTGTGGGAGTGTGTGTTTCTGTGTACATGTACATGTTTGTGTGTTGGGGGGGTGGTGAAGGAAGTTACAAGAAAGACTGAATCAAAACACTTGAGCTTCGTAAGAGAACAGATCCACACAGGTTGTGCTTCTTGTTATATCATCTGAAAGCGAAGTGTAGGAAAGGTTCACTAAGGATAAATAATCAAAGAAAAATTTGTGTTGAAAGAACTTTTTCTGAAGGAAAAAAAAAGTAATTCTAAAAGGCTATGGAACAAGGCCTGTAAATGTAGTTACCTTCTCATTTCAGCAGTGCCTCAAATAAACATCTCCATGCCTTCCTCCACAGATGTCCTTGCATGTATCAGACCACAAAATGGGTAGGAATGGGTACCTAATAATGCAATCTAGCTCTGATCTGATGAGATGAAGAGTTGTGGGCTTTCAGACATGAAGCAGTCAAATTGCTTTTGGGGGGCAGTTATTGTGAAGCCTTTTTCTCTCCCAGCTAGTGGAGCTTGTTTTGGGGAGTTTCTGCTCAGCCAAGCAGGATATATTTAAAAGGTGTTTGCCAGCCTTTGTGTTACAGTGTGTCCCCAGGAGTTGGTGTCAGTATTACATAAATATGAACCAGCTGAGAGATCAAAACCAGGGTTTAGCCTGTAGTGAAAACACATTTGTGCTCCTGTCCATCTCAGTTGCTGTCTCTTCTGACCAGCTAGGAAAGGAAGGGAAAAGTGGAATAAGTCAGAACAAAGCTGTACCAGCATGTTACGAACCCAGGCAGCTGTGTGTGCAGAAACAAGGGAAGTAGCTTTTGGTCAATGCCTTTGTAGTCTTGGCCTCCCACACTGCAAAGCAGCACTGGCTGTGCTAGGTGGACAGTGTCTTCCCCCCAGCTGCTTTCTAGCTTGGTGAAGCTCAGATCTCTGCAGGGTGGCCATAAGAGAAATTTTAACCCAGAGCCAGCAGCAGCATTCACAGCACCTTAGAGGTCTTCCCTTTTCAATCCTGCAGGCCTGGTTTAGCAGGAGCAGCAAAGAGTGCACCATCAGGTTGGGAAAGGTGGCTAAGAGATGCTACAATAGGAATCAGTCTTGCAGGCTCCCTCACAGTGAGACCTGGAGGAAAATGGGAGGTATGTGGGGTGCAACCAAATGTCCAGCATCATTTCCCAACACATACTTACTTGTCCAGTCCAGGGCTCCATCCTGATCAAGGGCACAGGTGGAGGACGGATCCTCAGAAACATGCACGGTGAGGGCTTGTAACAGAATCATTAAAATCACACCTTCAATCTGGCTGTGGGGAGAAACCAACATGCAGTCATGGTGCTTGTCCCATTCATCAGTGCTGCAGACAAGACCAGCTTCCCCAGCAGCAAGAAAGTGAGGCCCCTTTCTGGAGCAGGGTCCTTCTAGCACAGAAAGCTACTGCCAGCTTCCTCTGGCCCAGGCACTTGGTTAACTGGCTCAGAGGGTGTCCAGGTCAGCCTTTCAGCACACCCCTAGACACTGGGCCAGCATGGCAGAACCACTGTCCTCTGGAGGCAGGCAGGAGTTGAACTACAGCTGTCAAGGAGCTGAGGCTTAGTCACTGGGCAGAGACTCGGAAATACCTCTCACTGCAGGGCTGAGGATGGGAAAAAGTCAGTCTATGACTTCAGCCTTATTCATAGCTGGCTGGCAGCAGCAACAAAGTCCACAACCAGAGGGAAACAGCAGCCTTCAAAGGTGGTGTCTAATGCCCCTCTTTGACTGATGTTTCTTGCTGCTGCAGCTCCACCTGACACACACACATGGCACCAGGCCACATATATCACTGCTTGGGGCTCCAACAAGTCATTCCTGTTGCAGTCCAGTGCCAGTCCTAGGCATGTAAATTGATCACGGGAAGGACTGTCACTGCCCCATCTGTTGTGACCAGCTGCCAGTAATAAGGCACATCTTCCTCAGCAGAGCACTGAGACCTGACAAGTGCCTGTACTGCCATGGGAATGTGTGCCCCTCTCAGGCATACAGCTCCCATCTGCTTCAAAGGTAAGTGCTGCTGGGCATGGTTAAATCCTGCTTTGTGCCAAGCAAGGGAGACCTTCATCTTCCTTCCTGCATTTCTTGCACCAACTCCACATACTCCTGCTTGCTTTAAAACCTTTAGACCTTCAGCTCTATAGCTCAGCCAGCCAGCTCCCCCCATTGCCACGGTCATGTGCACAGCCATCAGAAAGAAGTTCAAGCAGGATGGCTAGCACTGATGTCCATGTTCTTCTCTATCTGCACACATGTGTGTGTGTATTTGAATCCAAGCTCAGCTGCCAATTCAATTTAACCTGCCTGCTTACCTTGCAACAAAAATCAGGCCTGTAGATGTGCCCTCTCCCACAGGGTAGGAGCACTCCACAGCCAGCTCCATGGCAATAGGGTAGATGGCAAAACCGAAGAAACCAAAGAGCGAGCTGGTGATGGCCAGCGTGATGGCCCGATGTCTGAACCGAGAAGTCTGCAGGCAGAAAAGCAACACCAAAATCGCAGTGTCAGCACTGCTGCGCAGGAAGTCTGAACTCATAACCTGCAGGAAGTTCCAAGGGCTCATTGTTCTCACCAGTACATTCCCTACCTGTTCCTGAAATGTCTTTTTTACCTCCAACCCTCTAGAGTCAACAAATGGCTACACCATGGAGATTTATCTGTTGAAGGGGAGCAAGGATCAGCAGAATTACCTGAAAAGCGTTGGTGTGGTTGTATTACTGTGACTTGACTTCCTGGTCAGGAACTTACCAGGAGTGTGCGCAGCGTATCTCCAGCACCAAGTGAAATACACTCCTTCCTCCCAATGCAAGTTAACGTTTCAGAAGTGGTGTTTGCATTGGGTTATGTATGAGAATTCACTGGGTTGCTGCAGCTAATTGATGAGGAAAACTATTCCTTATCATGTCAGACTGATGTTTGTAACGTTGGGGTTTTACCACAAAAAAGACCCCACAAACCAAACAAAAAAAACACCTGAAACATTCACAAACCCTGGTGATAAGTTTAGTGCCTAGAACAGCCCTGTCCCTAAGTCTGGAGGAAAGAGCATGGCCTCGTCCAGCCAACACTAGTAAAGTCAAGGGCATAAAACCTGCAGCCACAGTGCTGGTATCTCCTTCCTTAACCATGTAATAAACTCCCACAGAGGACAACAGGTATCTGTCCTGGCATGGCTGTAGCAGGCCTGGCCCAGCTAAACTGGTAAAGTCAAGGAAAACTGTGTGTCAAGGCATCAGGTGTATTTGAATGGGTGTTTTTTGTTTTACTACTTTGAGCTAGTAGTTCATCTGTATGGAATGAAGGGGATGGAGGGAAGGGGAGGAGGGAAGGGGAGGAGGGAAAGGTTTGCTTGTTGCTCCTAACATAGCCTCTTGCCTACTCTGTGCCTCACCTGAGCCCAGGCATGCTGATTTGTTTTCAGAGCATCCCCCCCAACAAATGCCAGCATACTAAAGGGGGAAATGCAAGGTCTGCTTTAGGCACCCTGTCCTACACAGAGAAAAGCATTGCATTTTTCTGTCTCTTCAAAGCAGAGCTAACATCACTGGGATCTTGGCCCAGGGGGAGGTGTGATCATGCTATATTGAAAGTCTGTATTTTTCAACACACAAGAGAAATGCAGACCACAGGCCTGTTGGGAAAGCAGATACCTGAACCAGTCTGGGTCCTCTGCAGTGATACGAGTCCTGTGCCTCATGCTCAGGTTTCTGCTGGGTGATGGCTGCCATTGGCAATGACTATGCTTGAGTGCAGTACTTGCACGCCAGCCCCCATGGTTTCTGCATCTCCCTTGTCTTGTCCTCCTTGAGGAACCACTGCAGAACTAGGCACATAACTAGTTTGTTTCTGCTAATCTTACACTCCTGGCAGCCACCACTCTTAAAGGCAGGTGTTGGGAAAACCATGCCATTCTTGTTCATTATTGTAAGATGGATATTTAGCAGTTCCATTTCTTTTTGGAAACAATGGTCTCAGGGCCAGTAAACAAACATGGTGATTCAATGTAAGGAAGTAAAATTATGCCAATTTATTTATATCCTGAAGCAGTCTGTCTCAGGCTCCACAGTGACTGTGAAATCCTCAGTAATGGGCTTTTCTTTAAAACATTCCTAGCCCAGAGATATAATCCCAAAGCTTAATAAATACTAGGACATCAGATGACCTTGGTTTGAGTAGATGATTTATCAGACAGCAACAGAACTAAGCCCACAGGTATGATGCAATGCAAGGGAGAACTCACCACTGCGAACATGATGCTGGCAAGTGCACTCAGACAGAAACAAATCTTGGTGGACTCTATGAACTTCCTTGTCCGGTCGACATACAGGCCTAGCAGGAAAGCACCCAACAAACCACACACTGTGAACAGTGCACCATTCAGGCCAGCAAATTCCTGGAGGACAGAAGAACAAGTAACTGAGCAACTAGAGCAGTTAGGAAAGAGGTTTTAATGTCATTGACCCTTCTGCCTGCTGCTAGTGGGTCACTTACTTACTAAGGCAGGAGAAGCTTCCCTGCCCATTGCGATAGCTGAGGCCTCCACTACCTGAGTAGCAAATAATGGGGCTAGAAGTGTGTGGGGACAGCAGGGTCACAGCAGTCTGAAGGTCTCAATGGATGACAAGTCTCTGCACACCTAACAAGGGAGGCTGAGTGCAGAGCAGCAGCAGTTCCCTGGCATTAAATGCTCTAACCTGGGCATGAGACTGTTCTTGGCTCTTCCAGGGGAAATCAGGTGCCTTGTCCACACTGGTGGTAACAGGTCCAACTGCCTTGGGATCTGCTCCTGTTCATAATCATGCTCCTTTTCTTACTAGGGACCAGGGACCTGCACTGACAGAATGCCTTCTACAAGGCTAGCAGCCCCGAAGTGTGTTAGATGAGACACAGCATCGCCTGGCTGTAGCAATGATGTCTAATTAGAGAGGCAGTGAGCAGTAGTCAGGGTAGGGTACATGCCCTGTTTCCTGCAGAGACTATCTTTACTTGTCCGGCTCCTTCAGCTCCAAATGCAGACAACAATCCTGAAAGGAGGAAAGCTTTAACAAATTTGGGTAAACATTTTTGGGAGCCCTAGGAGCAGACTGGAAGGAAAGGGTATCTGCATTAGCTTCTGTGGGCTAAAGGGCCAGGGAATTCAGTCACACACAGACAAAAGCATCATGATGCATGGAAAGCAAGCCTGAAAAATTTAAAAGATTTCCAGGTAAAAGCAATGGAGTGTGCAAATGTGACCTGGCTAGGGAGCATTGAACCAGGTATCACACCTGGGCGTTGAGAGGGAGTGGACAGAAACCAGACAAGTATATGTGCATACATAACAGCTGGAGAGGTGTTTTAAGAGAACTTCCAGGGGGTAAAGGAACAGCAGGACTGAAGTGCTGCCTGCCTGAGGGGAAATGCAGGAACAGGGGCTATCCCTTGCTATTGTAGGGAGAGAGCAGGAGGAATCAGCTGTGCACACACTGTGCTCAACAGTAAAAGCAGCACCTGGCCGGTGTCATGGGAAGGATGGGGCAACAGCTGTCACAGTACCTGTGACTTCCTCTGCTGCCCTGGCTTCAGGTAAGACTGTGCAAAGAGGAAAAGGTATTGCAACAGCCTGCCTTCAACTTCACTCTAGGGCTTCGCTGGGCCTCATCCTACTCTGGGGAAGGTGTTAGAAGGCTGCACAGACATCAGTACTCTAGAGTGGCTTAGGAAAAAACACAACACTCTTTTCCTAAAAAGTGTTTGAGGAGTGATTTGCAGATGGGAGCCTGGCCATGGGCAGTAATGAAAATGCAGATCATCCATTATACTGAGAGATTGACTGTGCTCTGGATTAATGTACTGCTTAGTCTATATCAGACAATGTAAGCAAATAAGATATGAGACAGTGCAGCATATTCAACCGTCTTCATTTTGTTCTGAGTCCCTTATTGTATCATAGGTGACATGGACAATGGGGAAAAGGAGGAAGACTCACATTTGAATACCCCTTTTCACAAAGGATCTGTTCTAGCAGAGCTGAAAAGCAGGTGAACATCCCAATTCCTCCTCCAAAGCACACTGCCAGGATGATGTATGGCTTGTTTCTCAGGAGCTAGAGAAAGAAGTTAATATGTCATTTAAACAAGTGGAGGGGAAAAAAAGGCCTGGCTATGACAGTAGACTTGAGGGTCGGTGGCTCCGACCTGTTGAAAATGTTGACAGGGCAACCCTGTGTTTGTTATAGGAGTTTGGCTCTCTCCTGTCCAATCAGCCAGAAGACAAGTTAACATGGGGACCCTGTAGGGAGGAAGGATCTCTTCAGTGCCAAAATTCTTCCTTCACTTTGCCACGTGCTGTCCTACCCGTTACCACATCTGCTTAGAAGGCTCAGGTTGTGTGCTCCTCTTGGATGAGCCCAGGTGTTCCTGTTTGAGCTAGCCGAACAGCAGCCAGCCCACAGCTGAACAGTCAGATAGCATCTCTTGCAGCTTTGCTGTGAGCAGCTGCCACTCCCTGAGGAAAGAAGGGATCCTGGACTCCTTCAGGGGACTTTCCATTGGGGGTTTGTTGGAGTTCAGTCTGCTTTGTCAGCAGATTTCCCAGCATATCCCTGTCTTGCCCAGCTGCATTCCTCACTCCACCACCAGTATCTCTCTGTGCTACAGTCACTTACCATTTTGAGCCCCGTGAGGAATGGCTGGGAGCTGGACTTAGTGGCACTGGCTGAAGGAGGTGTTGGAGGAACCTTCTCATGAATCCCCACAGTTGCTACAGCACAGGCTGTTACTGCTGGGATGGCATAAACACCCAGCTACACAACACAAAGAAAGGATATGTTACCAGTCTTTCTAACTCCACTGCCTCCAAATAAATAAATCAGCTGGACCCCAATCAGCCCAGATGGCTGATTAAAGCAGTTTTCATTTACCATCAATGGGATGTGCTTTCCTTCAGGAACTAGTGCAGGTGACAGCACGTTTGCTATAAGAATACCCAAAGGATTGGCTGGAAGGAAATAAAACAGAGAGAGAGAAATTTTTGTCATGCAAGCAGTCACAATCATGTGTCCACCCCTACTGCCAGTCAGCACCAGAGCTGCAGTGTGCAGCAGCACAATGAGCAAGGACAGAACAAGGCATATAAAGGGAGAAACTAGGAGGGGAACATTTGGAGAATCTGACTGTCCTACTGTTGCTGCATCTGTTCCCTCACCCCCATGAAGTCTGTTCTATATAAACCCATTTACCTAACTCCTGTAAACTGGTTTTCAACTATGAATTACAGTGTCCTCACCTTCACAAGACTGCCTCAGTAAATGCTAAGCTGAAGGGGGTTGTCTGTACTGGAGTAGGGGCTTGCATCGCTATGGGGCTGGAGCTGAGCAGTGTGTGAAGCAGCACTCCTGGGACTCAGTTTGGAAACATCCAAAACTGCAGGAGACAATTTTTTAACTTTAAGGCAATGTTCTGCAAACAGTCAAACAAGTGAAGTTTTGAAGATCCCTACTGTGCAGGGATGGGGTTAGGAAAGCCAAAGAGAACCTGGAATTAAGTCTGGTGAAGATGTGAAGGGCAACAAGAATGGCTTCTAAAAGTACATTAGCAGCAAAAGAAAGGCCAGGGAAAATGTGGCCCTGCTGCTGGATGGGACAGGAAACTTGGAAGACAAAGGACATTGAAAAGGCCAAGGTATTCAAAGACTTTTTCACCTCAGTCTTTACTGGTAAGACCAGCCTTCAGCCCTGAGACCAGAGGTGAAGTATGGAGCAAGGAATATTTACCCTTAGTGGAGGAGGACTAGGAAGTCCCTGGTACTGATGGGATGCACCAATGAGTGCTGAAGGAGCAGGCTTTTTTCATTGCAAGGTCATTCTTGGTTATCTTTAAAAGGCCATGGCAATTCCAAGAGGCTCCTGAGGACTGGAAGAGAGTGAATGTCACTCCCATCTTCAAGAAGGGCAAGAAGGAGAATCCAGGAAACTCATGGCCTTTCAGTCTCACTTTGATCCCTGGGAAGGTCATGGAACAACTAATCCATTTCCACTAGCCAGCAAAGGAGAAATGCTTAACCAGCCTAACAAGCTTTGTACAATGAGATGACTGTCTGGGTGGATGAGAGGAGAGTAGTGGATATTTTTATCTCAACTTTACTAAGGCTGTTGACACTGTATCCCATAACATCCTCACAGACAAGCTGAAAAAGTACTGGCTAGGTAAGTGGACAGTGAAATGAACTGAAAGTCAACTGAACAGCTGGGCCCAGAGGATTATCTTTACTGGCATGAAGTCCAGCTGGAGGCCAGTCACTAGTGGTGCACCCCAGGGGTTGATACTGGGGCCAATACAGTTTCACCTTAACAAAAAACCTGGACATTAGGGCAGAGTGCACCCACAGCTAGTTTGCAGATGATGTGACACTGAGAGGAGTGGCTGATAGAAGAGATGGGTATGCTGCCATTCAGAGGAACCTCAACAGGCTAGAGAAATAGGCAGAGGGGAACCTTGTGAAGTTCAACAAGAGGAAATGTAAAGTCCTACACCTGCAGAGGAATAACCCCATCTACCAGTACACACTGGGGCTGACCAACTGGAAAGTAGCTCTGCAGAGAAGGACCTGCTGTGGGGGGTAGGGGTCCTGATGGACACCAACTTGACCATGAGCCAGCCACACAACCTCACGATAAAGAAGGCCACCAGCATCCTGGGCTGCATTAGGCAGTGTTACTAGCAGGAGGTGATCCTTCCCCTCTACTCAGCACTAGTGAGGCCACATCTGGAGTACTGTGTCCAGTTTTGGCCTCCCCAGTACAAGGGAGACATGTACTTACTGGTCCAGCAAAGGGCTGAAAAGATGATTAAAGGACTGGAGCTTCTGTCATGTGGGGAGAGACTGAGCAAGCTGTGATTGGTCAGCCTGGAGAAGTTGCTGGAAAGTAGTTTTGCAGGAAGGACTTGGGGTCCTGGTGGACTGCAAGTTGATCATGAGCCAGCTATACACCCTTGCAGAAAGGTGTCTAACAGCTGGGCTTTATTAGGAAGAACATTGCCAGCAGGTGGAAGGCAGTGATCCTTCCCCTCTTGTCATCCCTGGTGAGAAATATCTGGAGTGCTGAGTCCAGTGCTGGGCTCCTCAATACAAGAAAGATAAATAGTTAATGGAGCAAGCCCAGTCAAAGGCCAAAGACATGATTAAGGGACAAGAGCATCTCTCATATGTGAAGAGGCTGAGAATCCTGGGACTATTCAGCCTGGAGAAAAGAACCTTGATCAGAGATTGTAAAGAAGAGAGAACCAGACTTTTCTCAGTGGTACCCAGTGGCAGGATAAGAGGCAATGGGCACAAACTGTAACACAGGAAACTCTCTCAGAATATAAACTTTTTTACTGTGACAGTGGTTGAACACTGAAACAAGACACTCAGATAAGTTGCAACATCTCCATCCTTGGAGACAGTCAAAACCTGACTAAACATGACCCTGGGCAGCCTGCTCTAGCCAACCCTGCTTGCACATGGGGCTGGACGAGACTATCCCAAGAGATGCTTTCCAACCTTGTCCATTCTACGGTCCTGCTGAGGCATCATTAGTAGTGCTATAGGACATGAGAACCATAACATTTCTGCTTTGTACTTGGCAAAGTACTAGCTTATGATCCTGGTGAAACATTACCTGCTTCAAAGTACATGGACACATGTATTTAGTGATGCTTGTAACAACAACAGCTTCCAAGGAGATGGATTAAAGCTTCTCCATTGGGGTAAAATGCATCTGGGCATTGTAGTGGACTGCCTGGGAACAACTGTCAGGTATTTCCATGAACAATCCCCACACTGAAGCAGTTCCAGAAGGTATGGGAAAGGTGTGGAAATGTGAGCATTAGGCTAAATTTGAAATGACTAAGTGAGATAATCTGAGTAATTATAGGGTTTCAGTCACCTACTCTTCCTGGGAAGAGAAATGATATGAGCCTAGACTAAGAATGGAAAGGAGATCAGTGAGTTAATCAACTGTACATTATGGTCTAGGAGTCCTGGTGGATTAGCTTGCAGTACTCTGCAATGGGGCTGTGTGTTTTGTGGACAGTGATGCCAATGAACTAAAACTCTGCAGTGGGTAGAAAATGACATGCTGACAGAACATAGTAAATGAAGAATCCCATGGACAAAGCAGAGGCCACTTCAGTGGACTCAGACAAGTCTTTCTTCTCCTGACACAGGAGAATTTATCATGATCTTCACAGGGGATCAGTTCTTAGCCCTGCACTGCTTCTCTGTAAGTCTACAAATGATGGGGAAGACCAAGATACAATAAATACCCAAGAGCACAGCTGAGTCATAGTGATTTCAGCTGCTCAGGAGGCTCCTGGATGCAGGGTCCATTTTTGTCTGCACACAAGCACAGGGAAGCCTACGTGGAGGCACTAACAGGACCTGTGGGGATACTGACAGGAGGCTGTAGGGCCAGTTTCTGTGTGCAGCACTGATACTGACCTGCAATGCTGAGTGCTGCTGTCACATTAACACAGGAAATGAGAGCAAGCTGAGAGAAAAAGCTCATGTGAGCAACAGGCAGACACTGGGAAGTGGCAAAGGGAAATGTGCCTGTAAAGTGGTTGGGTTGGAGCCATTCAGTATTTCTAGACAAAGGAGAGAAAAGGTGACTGTCTATAACTACCTGAAAAACAGGTGCAACAAGACTGAATAGCTGGGGAACGAAGAGCATCAGACAAGAAGTAACATGTAGATGTTTGTCAGTAAGGTAATTAACCACTGGAGTAAATGACTGGGGCTGTGGCAGATGCTCCTTCTAGGCAATATTTAAACTTTCTTGAAATGAAATCCTGATTTTGTACAGCAGACAGTAACGGGTATTACCAAGCATTATTAATGGAAGCCCTCTACACAGCAATATCCCTATGTTGCAGCAGATAATAATCACAGCCCATTCAGTCCTCACACTGATACCTCAACATGTCACAGATTGAACAGCTTCAGGTCTTGGGTTTCCACTGTTCCTTGCTCTTCAGTTTTATTCTTTCCCATAGTTAGATCCACTTGGTCCTGTAAGGACTGAGGACACTACATGAAAGAAATGCTCTTTGGCTGGTCTGGCTTTTCTCTCACTTAAAAAGAGCAAGTTGTCTGCAGGCTGGGATCCTTCAGGGGAGCGAAGGACTGAGGGCCCAGTGGTCCTTGGTAGTACTTGTATAGCACCACACTGACAACAGTGGAAGGTGAAGGTCTATCTCAGCCCTGGGAAACAAGGCGAGCCATCAGGTCTACCCTACTGTAGAGAAGGCAGTGCAACCATAAATCCACGCTTGCAAACCAACAGTGCCCATGCTCTGGGTTTGCCACACCATTGGGAAAGCTGTACAGGGGTGCTCCTATACTGCCCTTTTCCCCATGCCTAGCCCTTCCCCACAGCTCCAAGGCAGTGAGGAGGGAAGGTGGCTGTTGGCTGTTTTGAGGGAAGGGCAAGTGGGGCTCCCCTGCACATGTAGGTACTGTGAGATTTCCCAGCTGGAGCCAGTGAGCCAGCCCAGTTTCTGGGGCACCTGTCAAGTCCTTGGAGAAAGGAGAAAGAGATTTCTTTGGGATGCTGGGGAAAAATGTCACATGGAGGGAGGAAACACGCCTGTGAAGTGCAGTATCCTGTCTCTAGCAGGGCCCAAAGGGGCCAAGAGAGGAATGAGATTAGAGCAAGTGTATCTGGTGCCTCCCCTCCAGTTTCCCAGCTTCCAGGCACTTCGCAAGGCAGATGTGGTTTCTGCATGGGTAGTCCTGCTGCATTTAGCATCCCCAACATGTTTGTTTGGCCAGCTGAGTATATTTTATCTGTATGTGCATACATATCAATGGGGAATACATGCTCAGCCTTGCTACTGGACGAACTGGTGGATAAAATTGCTGCAGCAGCCTCACCTCTATCCAGTTACAGAATTTGGCAACTGTGACCACTGGCATCACAAGCAATTTGGACACCTTCCTAACAAGCTGCAGAACTAAGACCACTACAGACTTTAGATTTAGTAACACTGAGGGCTATCCATGACCTCTATGATATGTAGGCAAAAATGATCACCTTGTCATGGCAGAGAGGAAGAAGGTTGGGATCCTGGGTGGCTTACTTTGAACTTTGCACTTGGATGTGGCTTATGCCCACTTCTTGCTCCCCAGCATGGAAATGCCTGCCTGTCTTGTGGGGCCTTGAAGGCACTGTTTTATTGCACATGGCTATGAGACTCTTGGGCACAGCTGTATTTGCAGGGCCAAATGGCTGTAGTATGGAGGGTTTCCTCTGCCTGCTGCGCCTCTGAATGGCAAACAAATGCTAGCAAGTTCTGGGTGGCAGCAATATTACTTTGCAGCTGTCACTTACACATTGATGCGATCATATTTGCTGTTGCTCTCTGGTGGTCTGGGAACCACAGCGCTGCCAGTTTTGTCGGTGAAAAGATGATAAGTGGCTGTGCCAGTGCACAGAGGCACTGCCCAGTAAATAGGTACCAGTAACTCTGGGAATCCAAGCCCAGGAACTTCAGGACGCTGAATATCCGGATGACACTACCCATCATGTTCAGCCACGCGCTCAGGATCACCTGCAGCAAGCAGAAACAGCCAGGGGTTGTGTGCTAAAGCCCAGAGGGCAGAATTTAATGTGAAAGAGTAGCATGAGCAGGGTCTCAGATGCACTACAGGAGACACTGGGTGTTAGTAATCACTAATGAATGGCAAGTTGCCTGCAGACCACCTCCACCCCTTTGGGCCACTGCAAGATGCTCCTGATCCAACAGTGAGTTACTTGTCTCCTTAAGGAGCAAGTTGGCTGTCCTAGCCCCACATGACAACTATGCCCCAATGTAGCTTATGCAAGACAGCAGACACGGTCATGGAATTGATGAGAAATCCAAAGTTGACTAATTACACCCCGTTTGCAAGTGTGTGCCATCACCCATATTTTGCTGTGACAATCCAAAGATCATGGCAATGAGTCATCCAGCATACGGAACCTGCAAACACTCTTCTGTACCACTAGCATGCTTGTGTTTCAGTACCACATTCCACAAAACTCTTGCTTCTGGGAAGACTGTGTAGAGTACCCAAGCTGGCTTAGCATAGACCAAGCTCTGAGCTGACAGGGGTCCCTTGCTTGCACCCTGCCCTACTGCTCCTTAAACTGACCCTGCAAAGAAAATAGCTGTGCTAACGCTATTCCACAGCAAACCCTATCCACAGCAGAGTGGGTCACAGAGTCAGCTCACAGCATCTGTCCCTGTCAGTTGCCTAAGACAATAAAAACTGAAGCAAGAAAAGACAAGTAGGGATGCAACATTATCCTGATTTTCCCACTGCTCCCCAGCACAGAGGTGATGATATGACAGCTATTACTGAACTAAGATGGACAGAGCTTTCAATGTGCTCATCCTCTGCAGCATTTGGCAAGACTCCCACTCACAGGATGCATGTCAGTGCTTTGTGCGGCTGCTGCTATCTCTAGGTGAAATGCCCTCAGGGACACAGAACAGTTCAACTCACAGTAGATCTGAGCCCCACGCTGTCGAGAACCCATGTTGCCACCAGACCAAATGGGATTGAGATGAGGAGGTACACTACTGAGAGCCAGTTGACCATCTCCAGGGAAATGTGGAAGTAGACAGCTGCCTTATCAGCCACAGGAGCAAACGTCAGCCACAGCTGCAGTGTAGAGAGCAAAGATGGGTAAGCATGAGCACCTCCACCAGAACAGAAATTCAGCATCCCCTCAAACTGTCCAACTAAGTTGTGAAGGGGCTCACTATCTTAGTCTCTCCTTGAAATTAGGATGTTAAGGCTGGTAATAAAAATTCAAACCCCCAGTGTCCACAGTTACTCATGCTAGAACTATTTTACCACTGATGCCATCATTATCTTGGGCCAGAGCACCTCATCCCCAATCCCCTAGTGCTGCTGCTGGGAGCTGGCAGAAGCAGAGGTCAGTACCTTTTCTGTCCCCAGGGTGAACATGTTGGCCTGTGATGCATGCACTTACCTGATGTAAACCACAAGCAATCCTTCTATGTTAGCATAAACAAAAGAGAGGCTGCCATCTTCTCTCTGCAACTGAGAGCCTCTTAAACTCAGCCTGGTATTTATGATTGCATTGGTAACCCCTGAATGTGGCCTTGTAAGAACAACTTTGCTATGTGTCAGCCAAGAGAGACATTATTCCATGTTGTCCTACACTCAACAGTTAGGAAAAAAGGGCCTAGAAATTTGCATATGCAATACATCAGAACACATAACAGGGAAACAGAAGAGGTTCTTTAATAACTATCCATTTTTTTCTTCCAGTGCCATATCTGAAAATATTTCCCTAAACCTTGTTTTAGGCACTGATTTCATAAGGTTGCTGTCTGCTTCTGTTTTCTTCTGGGAATGATGAGGCCTGCTTTGATCCTCAAATCAGCTCCTGAGATCATGCCCTCAAGAAAGAAATGAAGGTACTACCCTAAACTTAAGGATGTTTCTGTGGATTCTTTGCGAAGATGCCCTCTCTGGTGCTTTTCAAAAAGACAGGCCTAACCTGAGAACAGGTTTCAAATAATGTGGATGTACTGAATACTCAAGATGATAAAGTTTGCAGAAATGTGAACAAAAACTTCAGCAATACCTTCCTGTAAAAGAACTCCAGCCACTGTGTCTTTCCGGGTACCCGTCTCTGCCATCACAAGCTTCCTCTTCACAGCCTGCATCCTGCAGACAGCATCAGCTGCAGCATTGATGTGTAATGGGAAAGAGGCCTGAGTAACCCCGGAGCAAAGTGTGTCCCTACACGCTGCTGCATGTTATTTCCAGTGTTCCTATTTACTTCTTGCACCCTAGAGACCATAAAAACTGCCACATTAAATGGAAGCAGAAGAGGAGACAGGCTTGTCTTCTCTCTCAGTGTCACTCTGTGAGAATAGCCACATGAAAAGCATTGTTTAGCTAAGCTTTTCTCCTAGCAGGGATGCAATAAGTAGATGGCAGTAACAGAGAAGTTCTGAACGTATTATCAGTGTCCTAGCAAGGACTCTTAACATCAGCCCTTTCCTTTCCTCTGAAAGGAGCTCACAAGCCAAATTTCCTGCATTCAACATGAAGCTCAAATCACTGTGCTGGGCTCAGACACACCCATGTAGGATCAAAGGTCTGGCAGGGAGTGGATTTGCCATTTACGCAGCTTCTACAATCATTTAACTGTTTAAATGTTACAAGTATCACTAAGGCATGAACATTAGTTTGATCATGGGATGGTAAACTGCTGCTAAACAAAACCCAGCTATGTATTTCCAGCAACAGCAATTCTCAGTTCCTCACTGCCTTCCAGAAGGGGGAGGGAGTGGGGGTGGTGGTGACGGTGATGAAACACTGTACCAGGAAACAGTGTAATTAAAGAGATGACACATTTTGTAAGCCAGCTTCAGCTACATTTTTGCCTCTCCTGTTCCTCCACCAAAGATGCTCACCCATGCATGACATCAGTAGCAGAATGATGCCACAAGCCAGAGCACAGCATTTTGTGTTCAAGTGGCTGTATACATCTAGGCAAGCTGGGGTCAACCATTCTGGCATGTTTCCATTAGACCCAGTAAAACCATTACTTGCTGAAAATCAAGCATTTGGGCTGCCCTGTAGCTCTCTCTGGAGCAAGAGCTCCGGTTCTAGCACATGTATGTGAGAGCACAGAAGGTGGGAGGTTGCAGCCTGTCCAAGCCTGCGTGCGTTCTTCAGAATGGGAAGTGGGTTTCTTTATGGGTCTGGAGAGAAGAAGTATGTTTCTGCCTCCATTCAGGCAGGGGTTGTTTACCATGTGTTGCTCTAACAGAGAAATTAAGAACTGGGCAATGGAGCTCAAGGTGTAGCTGTGGTCAAAGTGGCCAACAAATGCCCCTGCAACAAAGACATGGCACTGTGGAGTTTTGCCAACACAAGGAAATTGCCATGCTACACAAGTGAGTATGCCACCTTCTGCTTTTGGTTTTCCCAGCTATGATGACTTCATCCACAGTAGTTAGCAAGCTCTTATGCTGGGAGCTAGAGCCCTTATCCTACATGTTGGTCCTGAAACTCTGCACTGCCAAGGCTGGTACTTATGCAGGGGCTGCCCCAATACATGGCCCCTGAGGCAGAACAGGGTGAGGATGATGCAGTTTTTTCCTGGTGAGGTCTAAGCCCTGCAGCCTCTCAAGATGCAGTAGACTGAGAGAGGTTCCTTTCTCCTCCACTCCCCAAGGGCCATTGTCTTAACTCAGCTTTGGCACACCAAAACCCGTATCAAAGCCCCCCACTGTAGATCATGGTGACAGATGCAGGAGGAAAGATAATGTGTGTGGTTATAGGATGCCTGCCCCCAAATGCTGGTTGCTCCTGGGACAGATAGTGGAAGAAGAAACAGATGCCTCTGTCCTTGCAGTGTTTTCTACACACTTGTTCAGTCCCTGCACAAGCCTCACTTTGTGGAAATATGCCCTTGTAGTCCTGTCAAGCTGCACTCAGCTTCATTGGCTGTGTAACTACACAGAGCTACAGCCTCACTGTGAGCTGCAGAAGGCATCAAGGAGAGTCTGTGTTATGCACTGCACTGCTATGTCCATGTCCACATGCGCTCCTCTGAAGGCAGCCCAATGGACGGTCACAACAGCAGAATGGAGAGAATCCAGCCCCTTGTCAATGACTCTTCCTCACTTGTAATGGTGACAAGCAGTTTCCATTCAGCCACTATGGCTTACGTCTCTTCTGAGCCCTGTCAGGGCTACCATTAACAAAAACCTTTTGGCAGACTTTGACAAAATTCCCAGCTTGGTACCCCACAGATCAGGAATGCCTTGTCTCTGAGGCTTCAAACTCATCCAGCTCAGTCCCACACCCTGACTGCTCAACAACTACCTTCTGCAGTCCCCACAGCAGAACACAGCTGGGCTGCTTAACAAGTTGGAGTGGATGAGGTTGGAGGTCAGCAGCAGTCCACTCCCTGGGCCATGGCATAGTTAGGTCAAGTAATTTACACAGAGGCCCACAAAGAGCCACTCAAGCACTGCAATTCTTGCCTTTGAACACCAAACAACCGCAATGGATTTGTGAGCCCCAACCCCTAATACTTGGCAAAACTCACTTCCCAGCATTACCTCACAGATTTTGCATTATTTGTTCTCAGACAAAAGCTCCTGCTGTAGTATAATCCAATATCATTGGCCATGGTCACTCATGTTGTCAACATTTGATCCTTCAGCATTTGGGATGGACTTTTCCCTCCCTTCAGATATGCATCTAGCAGGATGTTGAAATAGCTACTGTAATAACATACACCGTTTCTTCTCCAAATTCAGTAACTGTAGTTCCCACACTCTTCTCCCCTCCTAAGCTCAGCTCAAGTCTTAGAAGCATGTTCATCTCACTGAGATTTCTGAGTTTAGAGACAGCAAAAGCTCCAGTGCATGCTAGCCTGGGCAGGAAGTCATACCTCAGCACACACTCTTCACCATAAAAACTTGTGCTCTACATAGTGGGCACAGCGACTGATGAAGAGGACAGAAGGTCCCCTGAAGACCCATGAGCCTGTTGTAGCTTGCACTGGAGTACAGCTGCAGCTCCCACTGCTTTCAGCATGCCGCTGGCTGACTGAGTAGCCATGCCCCATCACTAGAAGAAAAGGACAGAAATGTTTTCCACCTAGAGACTACTTATATCTTCAATTACAGGAGAGCCCCCTCCATACCTCCTTTAACAACGGAGCATGTGGGACCACCAGGGAAGGTAAGTGCACTGAAACTCAAATCATCTGGCTGGTACTGATGTTGGAGTCATACTGGCTCCACTTTCAGATCTCCCTCCCTTTGCTTTAACTTTCTTCCAGCTGACATTTTGTTTTCTTTTCTCCTGCACCTCCCAGAGACTGCCTGCTCCCTTCCCCATTAATTGCAGGCCTGCTTGGGCACTCCTGTAACCAAGAACAGGTTACAGCTCTTCTCATCCTGCCCCCATTTCTAAGCTTTTTTGTTGCTCTTTCCGATATCCTTGTAAAGCCTTAACTGATTCTCAGACATGGATCCAGCCCTCTTCCTCCCAGAATCAGCCCAAACCCTCTAGTTTTCCTACTGCTCTCATTCCCCTTCTATCTCCATCTTCTCCAGGTTCAGTTCCTCTACTCTATTGCCTTTACTGTTTTCACTCCCACACAGACTCTCCAGGACCTGTTTCACCTGCAGGACCCAGTTTTCCTCCACCCATTCCAAGAGAGCCCAACATTCACCTTCCCTTCCACTTCTGCAGGAGGTTATGGGTGGGCTGTGAGCCGCCAATTCTCTGTCTGCAGTGGTAGCAAGGTGATGGCTGAAGGCAGGACTCCAAACAGACTCTACACTTTGGTAAGCAGTAGGTGTGAGCTGCAGAAGGCAGCATAAATAAACACAGCCCCAGGATTTTCAGAGCTTAAAGAGCAGTAGTGATATATGCATCACATGTATAACCAGGTGCAGTCCTGCCAGAAGCAGTACCAAAAGTGTTTTTTCATGAAAGGCAAGCTGTTAACCAATGTCTACTCACCTCACCAACAAATCAAGGTTCTAAAAGTGAAAAGCAAAATCATTTGCAGAATGGCAAGCACACGCAATCAGGCAGGCTGGAAATTAAGCCATTTCGCCATGTCAGTGGTGGTATCAGCTAGCAAAGGCTGCCATATGGAGTGCTCTTCACTGTCTGGCATACTGTATAGCTGTGCACAGTGTAGCAATGCCCCTGTAACACCTTTTATGTATATCTTAAAAAGGAGGAGCTAAGGGGGATGAATTCCATGAAATGGGACCTTCTGCTTTGTAACAGGCACAGCCCACCAATCCCCAGGCAGGCACTGCCTGCAGCAGCTCTGCCAGTCCCAGCACGCTCTCTCCCATTCACCCAGACACTGCTTTAAAGGTGACGTAGGATGTCTTTCTGAGACACGCAGGCTGCCCTTCCCCTCCCCTGGGACTGGGCTATGAAGATCT